ACTATTAAGAAGGTGATTGTCATCATCCTCATGTCTGCTCAGGTCTGCATTTAATGGGGAGGTGGGGATTAACAGCTGGTGGGGGCTTTTTCTGTTATTTTCCAGCAATTAGAAAGAGACCATTAACAAGGACAGTTGGCAACCATGTAAAAATTCAAAACTGAAAATTCTGTTGAAAACTGGTATTGAAAAAGTTTGGATGCAATAACAATTATTATAAATAAGATGCTGGCTAGTACAGATGTTGGTATCTCCTTTCACAATTTGGGACACCTTTAGAAAAAGTTGGGAAGGAAAGCTGTAATTTTACGCCTAATTTATTGAATGGAGGCAGTCCATTTAGATTCTGAAAAGCAGTTACTAACTTTCTGATTATCAACCTGATTGCCAGCTTTTGTTGTAGTGAGTGTTGCATAGTAACTGAGTGTTTCTGACAAGAAGAAGACTGTAAAGGAGGAAACCAGAAATATACATTATGTGAGTCACTAGGATACAGGTATAGATGAAACCTTGAAGGAGAAGCAGGGATGACAGAGCTTTTGCCATGTGAGCAATATAGTGCACTATATCTTAAGGAGTTGGAAATAACTTCTCATTAGGAGTCTCTCCCATTTCAAAGATGGAGCATGTCTTGGACTGGTCATCATAGGTCTGGCTCTTAGGAGTGAGGTCCTCCAAAGGTGACAGAAGAGCCAGAAAGAAGTGGTTGCCCTGGGGTGTTTGGGCTCTAGCAAACCAAACCATTCTTTCTATCACTAAAAAATGATGCATTGAATACTTTATTTAATCTAATTCTTCACCCTCATTTTGAAAGTGCAATATTAGGAGGTAGGTCACAAGAACTCTGAAAAGACTATTTTGCATGCAGGTCAAGATCAGCAGCAATTTAAAGTAGCAGTCGTGGAGTGCCAGTTATGAGCTATGTTTGAAGGCTATTGGATGATGTTCATTCCTCAGATCATGTTTTTTCCTAGGCAGAATACTCTGATATATGCTGCAAAAAGTGTAAAGTTGTACTAACCAAAATAAAAACAAAGAGATATAACCTATTTCTAAAATATCCATTTTCCTCCTGCAGCTGACATAACAGGAAAGATCGGGGCAAACTATTTCTTCTGATATAAAGGAAATAATCTGTATAAAATTCTCTCTCCTCTAGAGGCTGGAAGACATGCAGGGGTTCTTTTGTGCATTTGTCAATATTGCAAAACTATTTCAGAAGTTGGGAAAGAAAAATAAAACATCTCAGTGGTTGAGTGTTTGAGTACTTTTGCTTAAAAGTTGTTGCAACTTCCACTGTGTCAGAGTATTCACATTTCAAAAGCTCTTTCCTATCAGATATGGGTGCTAGTGCTTACATTGGAACTCAAACATTGTGAGTTGGAGGTGACTTTGCATAGCAAAAGACTAAATTCTCTGGCACTGCTGGCCAGGAATTAGTAATGATTACACCAGTTTTAAATAACTTCTACATGTATGAAAGTTTCTGGTCATGACAGGTCCTTTACACCTTCTGTTCTTTGAGCATGGCTGCCACAGTCCTAGCATGCGAAGGAAACAAAACTTAGGTAATGGTTGTCTGCTGGTTTTGGTGGTTTATTTGGTTGGTTTGAGGTTTATTGTTGGTTTTTTTTTAATTGCACTCTCCCTGCTACTTTTGAAGCCATGGTCTGATTTTGATCTTATATTACATGACAGCATGAGTATTAAAGATACCAAGTTTCTGCATGTTTTGTGAAACAGCATTTGGAACAAAACCTAGTAATGTCCCAGAGAGGGATATGTGTTCACTTAGCTTTTGTCCAAGGGACAGTGTCTTGGTTTGAAAAGACAGGTGTCTACTAAGGAAGGCAGGAGCTTCTCTTGAAATGGAAAATGTAAACCCTCTCCCTCCAAACTATTATAATTTTGAAATTAAGGGACTCTCAGGCAAAGATATGGGAATAGGAATAACAATTCTTTACTAGGAAAATTAAAACAAAAATGCAGTAATACAAAAAAACCACTGACAGATTCAGAATACCACCTGACACCCTGTGAGTCAGGGCCTTGGTAGCAGTCCCATTCCATGGTGGCTGCAGCCCTCCTGCAGTGACAGGTGTGGTTCTGTTGAAGCAGTGATCCTGTCAAAGGCTAGAGTTTTCTTCTGCAGGTCCAGTGCTGGTGTAGATGGGCCTGATCTTCCTCTGGGAATCCAGTGGCAAAAAGCTCTCCTGGTGTTCCAAATCTCAGATTTTATCCAGGTAGGAATGCTTTGCTCCTCCCCCTGGGCAGAGCATCTCACAATGGGATGATGTGATTTTATCAGTCATGCTGTGACACTCAGTGGACCACTGACAGAAGGTATCTCCCTGGACTGAGGATGGGATAAACTACACATGAAGTTAAGACTTAACTGCAGTCCAGCCCGTCCAGAACAGGTAGGGGAGGACTAAACAGAGAAGGGCTTATGGTTGTGAAGGGAGCTGACTCGTGGCTTTCAGTGGCTAGAATACAAACTTGGAGGAAATCTGGTTTCATCAGCTCTGTAGTTCTTGGAAAAATTTATTCAAACTTATGATCTTTGATGATTGGAAAGACTGCAGTGTTCCGGCTTTGTATAACACAGAGTATTAATGCTGATATACTGCTAACGACACAAAAGCAGAGCATAGGCTCATGAAAAGCTCCTTCCCTTAAACACAGAAGTATATAAATTCCAGATTTCATCTGTGAGATACAGAGTTGTGCAAATGCAATGGGCATTCATGGCAATCATCATCTTCATAGGAAGAAGATTTTGTTGAAGGGACAGCTAGCTGTTCCATTATCACTATACTAGAAATATATCAGAGGATCCTGATATTTGACTGCTTAGGTGAAAGTAGCAAAACATCTCTAGTATCAATATGTTACACTAGAGTATTAAACTGTACAGAACTGGGGTTTTGACTACTCAAACTTAAATATCTAGTTTTGGAGGCCTTTTTCATAAAGTAAATAGCTGCCAATTAAGTAAAAATTTGTTATTCACGATGAATAGGAATACTGCCTGAGAGATTATCCAAATGCTTTCTGAAATCTGTCAGGCTTGATGACAGCTAATAGAAGGAGGGAATAAAGTTCTGCAGCATTTAAATGTCTACAGTACTCCTCTAAAAGTTCAGTTAAACTTAGTTACGACAGTCCCCTTGCATCTGGATGGAAACATTTTAAATGTTCTTTCTTTAAAGTGGAAATGCCAAGAATTGGGCACAATAATCACAGCCTGGAATGCAGCAGAACCTAACCTCTGCCTAACTAATCCTGCTCTTTTCTAACCTTGTCCTTCATGCATATTCAAAGAACAGAAGTCACATGCTTCAAAGTCAAGCCTTTGCAAGATCATGGCTTTTCCTGTGCACAGAACATGCCCTTCCTGCCTGGTGTGCCTGCACAAGGAGCTTATCTAGAGAAGCCATTATTATCTTGCTTAACACCACTCCCTCCTGTCATTTAATATTTTAGTGATGTCTTGCTCTATTATTTTTAATCTCATCTTGAGTTAAAGATCTAAAAATTAATGGAAAAGCAAACAAATTATACAAGGAAAAGATATCTCAAAGTTTTTCAATATGCAGAATTGTGTTTAGAATTAATGAAATTTAGAAATCAAAGCACATTAATCAATATATCATTGTCAGATCTTAGAAAGCTAAAATGTACTGTGTTATAGTAAACTAAATAATTGTAATACTACATATTAGATAACATTGCTAATCTTCAGATCTTATTTACAGAGATGGTAGAATATTTGAAATGCTTTGGGGCAGACCACATAAGCAGGCAGACAACAGAGTCCCTCACTGATGCCCTGCTGACTGTGTTCCCACTGCCCTTGTGCTTAACATCAACTGTTATTCGTCATTATTTTAAACATTTGGGTTATGTTATTTATGTGACAGGTCTGTAAATTTTGACAATTCTTGGAATTTTAAAACAAGTCTCAAATAATGAAATATTTCCAATATTAAAAACTCCAGCTGTTCCAATCAGACTCTTAGCTCACAGAAGTGATCCTCAATCCAAAACAGAGCACCAGCGACTGTTTAAAAATGTCCAAGCAAAGAGACACTGGAAAGAGTCTTAAATGATACTACAGCAGATGTCTTTTGGAAAGTCCAAGAATTCTCTATCTCAATGATGCAAACAAACTTTTAGGAGAAACTTGGGACTTTTTCAATGATAGTAATTCAATCCTCAGCAAGAGTTGCTATGGCACCTCATCCATTTCCCTGGCTGTTGTTGGCCTTGCTGTGAGTTTGTGCATGCGACTGAGCCAAACGTGTTCTCTAGGGCTCATTTGGCTTTGCTGTAGGAGCCGAAGGGACATGACCATCCTGACAGAGTGCAGAAGAAATGGGGATGCCTCAGACCTGCTGGCCCCAGGCGTGCTGATGGCTCGGTCTCGATGCCAGCACTGCAGCTGAAGGCGTAGGCAGTGAAATCGGGGAGAAGCAACTTCGGGCAGGAGCTCGGCGGGAGTTGCAGCACTTTGAGCTTCAGTGTGGAAAGAGGAACTATGAGACACATCGTTACTGGTTGCACAACTGAGGCTTGAGTATAAGGTTTGGAGTCGCTGCCCAGGTCCCCACCTGGATTTTATTTCCTTACTGCTCACAGAATTACCCCTTTACCCTGCAGTTTCTCTGTACAGCCAGAGTAGCTGGCTGATATTTTACCTACAAACAGCAGAAGTACAGTTTCCTACGCCAGTTACTGTCGCCGAGCGGCGCCGCGGATCCTGCAGCGGGCCCCTACGTGCCCTGCTCCGGCGGCCGCTCTCCAAGCCCGGCCGGGGCCCGGGGAGCGCGGCCGGCGCGGCCCCGCCCGGCGCGCCTCGGAGGTGCGCGGGGCAGCGCCGCCGTGACGTCGCGACGCGGTTGCCATGGGGACGCCTGGGGTCGTACCTGACGGCTGTCGTGAAGCAGCGGGAGGAAAGTGAGGGAGGAAGAAGGGGGAGCGCAGGCCCAGCCCGCCCCCCCGGCCCGCGGGGAGTTGGATCCGCGCCGCGCCCCTCCGCCCTCGCCGCATCGCGCTCGGAGGCCGGAGGAGGAGGAGGTGGCGGCGGCGGCGCTGCCGCCTCTGGCTATGTAGGGGCCCCAGAGCGGGCAGATCCGGAGGCCGCTGTCCGCCCCTGGAGCTCGGCGCGGGGCCGGGCCCGGGGCCGGGCCCGGCGGGATGTTTTCCAAGAAGCCGCACGGGGACGTGCGGAAATCCACGCAGAAGGTGCTGGACACCCGCAAGGACCCACTGACCCGGCTCAAGCACCTCCGCGTCCTTATCGGTGAGGCAGCCGGGAGGGGCGAAGGGAGCGGGTCAGCGGGGGCCGCGGGTCCCGGCGTGGGGAAGACCGGGAATTGGGAGGGAGCAGCTGGGGCGGGAGGCGGACCCGGGGCTCGGCCTCGGCGAGAGAGCCCACCCGGCGAGCGGGGGAAGACCCGCGCCCGGCGTGGCGGGCCCGGCGGGGCGAGGCTGCAGCGATGTGCCGGGGGCTGCGGGACCCCGCGGATGCTTCGCCCGGCGCTTTTGTACGGACACAGACACCGACGCTTCCGTCTGATCGTGGCATTGCTTTGGGAACTGTGGAAGAAGGCGAAAAAGTGGTGTTCTTCCCGTGTGAATTATTCTCTAGAGTACACAAAGTGCTAAGTTGGTGCTCATGAATAAAAGTGGCTGGCGAGCGCAAATGGTGCCTATAACTCCTGAATCCATTTCCCTTGCGTTCTTACAGTACCAGTTTATATTTGTGTACATTTTCAAGGTAAGAGCTACAGTATTAATTGCTCACTAGCATAGATGTGAAGGAGCTTCTATACAGCCAGATTTAAAACACTTTTGGTTTGCTGGTTAGTAAAGGAGGACACGCAAGCCCTGAAGGGCTGCTGCAGTTCCATGTGAGCTGCCATTTAACCTGACCAGTGAATTAGAAATTGTGATTATACGGCATAATTGCCTAATGAAAAAAAAAACAAGGGGAAGCAAAAACAAACCTAGTTAACCATTCCAAGGTATCTGTTAGTTGCATGTGTTTGTAAAAATCTAAGTCGTTGTCATCAAGCTGTCCTTGAAGAAAGAAGCTTGCTCTGGAGTATCTTTTGGGCGCTCCAGTCCAGGGAATGCGTGTGTTGCTTCTGACAGTTTATCAACACGTGAACAGGGCTGGGTCAAGGGCAACTGCATTCCATGTTTAGCACAGAGTGCTGAATGGATTATTTTGGGTTCTGCCCACAGTCTGGTGGTATTTATGTATCTTGTCCTCCAAAGCTGGATTCTTTCTTTTCAAAGGAAAACGGCTATTGCTCCCTTATTTTGTATTGGTGTTTAAAGGAACAGGTGCTCCCATGTTGCACCATCTGCTGCTTCATGAGTTATTTTCTGCAACATAGTAATTATCTAGACTTGAAATGGAGAATAGTTGTGTAGCTGTCTAAGCGACTTCAGAAGTCAGATGCATCCCCTTGCCTCTCTCAGAATGTACCACTCTTCCTAACTAGCTGTACTGGGCCAGCTGTGGCTTGCTCTGTGTTGGTTTTTAGCTTAGTTGAAACATAAGAGGAAAAAACATTCTAAAGAAACTAAATACCTCTCTGAATTCAGATTTCCTGGCTAAAGTATGTTGAATATTTCTAGTTTTGTTTTAGTCTACAAAAAACTCTGATTTTGATCTGTTCTAGATTTTGCATTTATGTTGCTTGCAATTTATTTACAATGGTTTTTCTTCTTCAGCTTTCTTAATAATTGAATTACTTCTGTAAGTTGCAAGGCATAAGCTATGTCAAGCAGATATTCTTATCTAATCTAAGGTTTCTGTTTACTGGCTGTAGGACAGGTTAAATTATCTGGGGATGTTTTCATGTCGGCATCTTCCCCCCCCCCCCCCCCCCCCCCATTGTGTGTATCTCAGCTGTTGAAGCACAGCTCCCACACATCCTTTCTCCAAGTTTGGGAGAACACAGTGTGTGAGTGACTGTGTAATTAGGGAAAGGTGTAACAGTACTCTTCAGCTTGTCTCTTTTGGATACATCCACAAGATTTTGTCATTATGTAGATATTCTTAGGTGCATGAGATACAAAAACAAGGCATTTTCTAGAGCAGTGAGAAGTGAGCATTCCCCTAGAACAAAAATTGCCATATTTCCCATGTGTCCAGGGGTGCTGTGTTAGCTATTGCCAACAGACTGTCCGAGGGGATAGGGCAGGAAATCTCAGGTCAGCTGTGTTCAGCATCTTCCTGAAGGAAACGTTTTTTGTTTATTGACCTTAGCCTCTGCACACGGGAGACTGGAAAACTATCCAGAAGAGAATTTTTTGCAGTTTCACGTCCAGGAGAAGGGAGAGAATGTTCTCTTGTTCTTTAATTTAGAATACTTTCAGTAGGCCTTCAAAGTGTATTGGACCAGAGTTTGTTTTTTCAGGTTTTTTTGTTGTACATTTTAGCCTGTCGTCAACAACAATAAACAGGTATGACCTTAGTTTCATGGTTAGGACTTGAGAGGAGGAAAGGGAGTACTAGTTCATTTTCCTGCTATTTTACCAAGGCATCCAAAGGAGCAGTTTTCCAGTAAGCCAAAATAACAGAAGAGTCATGAATAGAGGTACCTGCTTGTAAATTATGGACTGCTGGCTGTCTGCTAGCCAAAGAGAAATCTCAAAAACTTAATTATGGTACAAGACTGAGAGTTGCATCCTCCAAGTCAGTAGTGTAAGTCAGGCACCACATAGTCTAAAAATATTTGAATTATTATAATGCCACTTTTGGTAAGGATCAGAAGATACTGAACAGTATCAAGCACCTGATATGAAGCTAAATGGATCAATAGCACAAAGGCCTGTGACTGTTATTTTTAACAAATTAAGAGTAGCCTTCATTAGATAAAATCTTTTAAATGTCTTTTACAAAATAACTTAGAGTGCAGTGATTTGTATTCTTTTAGGAAAGTATCCTGTCATTGGTGACAACTCAGGTTAAATTTAGTAAAAAATGCAAATGAGTCTGCATAAGGATATATAGAAAATTTTGTGTCTTTTGTGAAGCAGTGACATACCATTTTATCAAATACCATTGCAGCTTTAGGAGTCTGATTGCTGTAGTCAGTGTATAGAAGATTTAGATATGGGAATGACTCAGATGCGAGTGAAACTTTAATATGAAAACACACTGGAAGCTTTAAAATTCCTTTGTATAGGGACAGAGGGTGAAAAGTACGTACGCATATATGAGAAAGTCTAGGAAATAACATCTATTAAGGCCTACCAAATCTGAAGTTACAATAAATGATTTTTGTTTTGGAAAGCTCTTGAATGCTAGGCTAGTGATCAGTTATAGGGAATGCTGGAGGGAAATGCATTTCTTGTGGTTTGGGTTTTGGGCTTTTTTTCTGTTTTTTTTTTTTGTTGTTGTTGTTTTTTGTTTGTTTTTTGTTGTTGTTGTTGGTTTTTTTGGGGGTTTTTAGGTTTTTTTTTTTTTTTCTGAAACTCTTTAGTAGATAACTGCTCTTTGCCACTTCAGACCAGTGTCCTGTGTCTGGTTCTCTGATCTGCTTCAGTTTGGCTCCATTCAGCCTTTTTTTGTAGTTTGGGAACCAGAGAAAATTCTGTGAAATTCAGGTGACCAAATCAGAATTGGTTAAATTATTTTTAAATACAATATGTGACACATTTGTGCATGTCACAGGTATAAGGTTTTTTTAGTAGAAGTTAAAGCCTTTAGAAGACCTCTAAGTAGTAAGAAATATTATTCTTGCTTAGAAATGCTAAGAAGAATTGTAAAGATTTAAGTGTCATATCTTGGAACTTAGCAGCATGTGGGCTAAGGTAATCTGCCTTTCATTGTTATGTTGCTGCAGTGTATTTCTTGAAGCAAATGTAACTATCTGAAGTATCTGGTTTCATAGATTTTTATTCTTTTGAGATGTATTCCTTCCTTCCCGTAGGGAAGTGTTTACCCCATCCTGCTCCCTTTGATTTTTTCTTAGTTCTGGGAAGTGCCTGAGAGTCTCATACAGCTCCCTGGTGCTGATTTGGTCAATGTCTGAGTTTTTAGCAAGCTGCTCTGGGGTCTTGTCTTGCTGTATGCTGGAGATGCTGTGACAGCTGTGTTTGCTGTGTGTGGCTGCAGTAGTTGGAGCATTGAACCTTGAGTGGGGATGTTGAATGGGATTCCCTTGGGGTCTGTGTGGCAGCAGCGGGGCCTTGCTGGCAGGAAGGCTGCACTGCTGCAGGTGTGATCACTGAGGCTTCTCTGGCTGGGAAGGGAGGCACACTGTGTACCTTACAGGGTTAGCTATTGCCTGTACAATGATTTTCCAGAAAAAATATTTATATATATATATATATTTTTAGCAACCCCCAGTCAATTAGCAGCTAATTGCAATTTTTAGGGTCATTAAAATGGAAATAATATTGGATTATTCTTATATATATTCGCTGTTTCATCAGACTTCAACATCAAACTATAATTCTATGCTTTTTAAATGGTAATTTATAAAAGTTGGTGCTAGTAATCTTTCAAGCTTCAGATCTTGGTTTATATGTCCTTTTGCTAAAACAGTGCTTTAAGCATTCTATAAATAATTTAGACAGCTAGGTATGTTACCCTTCATAAGGTTATACGTTAACAATATTGACTTTTCATTTTGATATTAGATATGTTGGTGTTTGACTAAACCTGTAGAATTTGAAGGTTCAGTCTGAATTTGTAAATGTATGGGTTTTTTTAAAGCTAAACCCTCTAATTATTTAATGATTTCTGTAAAATTCTACTGTGTGCAAGTAAATCAAATGAATCTATGGGTTTAAAATTTTCTTATAGAGCTGAATTCTTAAGATACTTGCTTTCTTGTTGTGTTGGGTTTTTCCCTTTTCTTTTTTCACTTTTTTGTTGAGTAGAAATTACAGGTTTGTAATCTGTTAATCCAGAGTGAAGAAAAAAGGAAATATGTTGTTTCTCATGAATTATTTTATTTGCATTTGATATTTAAAACAATACTTCTTTTATCTCCATGGAGAGAATACTTGCAAAATGCAAGAGGACAGAGTATCTAAAGTGTGGGGTGTTTATGTTACTATTTTGTTTTGTTATTCTTCGTGGTTGATTAGCACTGGACATGTCATGTAAATAGTCTTTGAAAGGTAAAAGCCAAAATACATGGGACAGAATGAAATGGACTGCATTGGACATCCATTCTGATATATTGTTTAATATTAAACCATACACTTAAAAAGAGATTGCATTTGTTTAAAGGGATTTTAATTTAAGAAATCTATTTCACTGGCAGTTAGCCC